AATTCTGCTTTGGTACCACATAACAAAGGTTAAAAGCAAGACTCAACAGGTTAACTGCATCCCAGAACAAAGCTAAATACTACTTATAAGAAAACACAAGTATCTAGAGTACAAGAAAATTAAATTCATAACACCTGCCATCCAATAAAAAATGACCATACAATTATGCTGCCACTGAAGCACAAAAGCAACCATAGACAATACTTAAACAAATGGGTGTGGTTGTGTTCCAATAAAATTTTATTTACAAATAATCAACAGGCCATATTTGGCCTGAGACTATAGATTCCTGACTCCTGAGTTAAAAATTTATACTACAAACCCTAAAGCAACTATTAAAATAAGACAACAACAAAATGTTATTTTGATAAAAAGCCAACCAAAGGTATAAAAATAAAATCATGTAAAATAATTAATTAAAAATAAGGCAGCAGGGCTTCCCTGGTGGCGCAGGGGTTGAGAGTCCGCCTGCCGATGCAGGGGACACGGGTTCGTGCCCCAGTCCGGGAAGATCCCATATGCCGCAGAGTGGCTAGGCCTGTGAGCCATGGCCGCTGAGCCTGCATGTCCAGAGCCTGTGCTCCGCGACGGGAGAGGCCACAACAGTGAGAGGCCCATGTACCACAAAAAAAAAAAAAAAAAGAGGCAGCAAAAGAGAAATAAAAGAACAAAGAACAGAAGGGACAAAAATAACTCCGTGAATAGAAAGATGGAGATTCAAACCCAACCATATCAATAGTCAGATTAAATGTTACAAGTCTGACACACCCATTAAAAAGCATAGATTTTCAGACTGTATAAAAGACAGGGACAATTACATGCTGCCTTAAGTACTGCACATTAAATATAAGGACAAATAGATTAAATAAAAATATGGAAAACAATATACTAAACTAACACTAATATTTTAAAAACCTGGAGTGCCTGTATTAATATTGACGTAGATTTCAAAGCAAAGAACATTAGCAGGGATAAAATAAGTCATCTCATAATGACAAAGTGTAAATTCACTAAGAGGGAATGATAACCCTAAAGGTTTACACACTTAATAACAGAACTTTGAAATACATGAAGCAAAATCTGACAGAAATTCAAGAAGAAATAGATAAATCCATAATTATAGTAAAAGGTTTCAATCCCTGTCTCTCAAAAAATGTTAGAACATGTAGAGAAAAAATTAGGAAGAATATAGTAGACTTAATACCACTATCAACCAACTTAATCTAATCGACATTTACAGAACCTTCTACTACCCAAAAGCAGAATACACATTCTTCTCAAGTACACATGGAACATTTACCAAGATATACCATGTTCTGAAGCATAAAATAATTTAAGTGAATTTAAGAGAATTCAAGTCATACAAAGTGTGCTTTATGACTACAATAAAATTAATTTAGAAATCAATAATAGAAATTTATCTGGAAACTGCCTAAATATTTTTAAATTAATTAGCATACTTCTAAATAACCCATGAGACAAAGAAGAAATAAAAGGAAATTAGAAAATACGGTGAACTAAAAGAAAATAAAAACATAACATATCAAAATTTGTGAGATGATGCTAAAGCAGTATTTAGAGGGAAACTTGTAACACTATATGCTTATATTAGAAAAGAAGAAAAGGTCTCAAATCAATAATTTCTGCTTCCATCTTAAAAACCAGAAAAGCTAGTGAAACACAAAATTAAGTAGAGAAAAATGAAGTAATAAAAATTAAAGTGGAAAACAATGAAACAGAAAACAAATACAATAGAAAAAATCAGTGAAACCAAAAGCTGGCTGATTCTCTAAGAAGAACAATAAAATTGATAAACCTCTAGCAAGGCTAAGTGAGATAAAAAAAGAAGACACAAAATACCAACATCAGGAATGATGATATCAACATCACTAACGATTCTATACCTATAAAAGTCATAAGGGGATATTATGAAAACTTTATGCCAGTGAATTTGATAACTTTGATGAAATGGACAAATTCCTTAAAAGACACAAGATACTAAAGCTCATTCAAAAAGAAAGATGAACCGAATGGCCCTAAGTATATTAAATAAATTGAATTTATAGTTAAACACCATACCATTAAAAAAACACTTCAGGCCCATATAGCTTCACTAGTGAATACTACCAATCATTTAATGACAATTTAACATTGAACTTTTCCAAAATATTGAAGAGGAGAAAATTCTACCCAACTCATTCTATGAAACCAGAATTGCTCAGACACCAAAATTAGATATAAACAATAAAGAAAACTACAGTCAAATATCTCTCATGAAAATAGATGCAAAAATTCTTAACAAACTTTTAGTAAATAACGTCCAATAATATGCAAAAAGGATAATACATCATGACTACATGGGGTTCATCCACAGATGCAAAGCTGCTTCAACATTTGACAATCAATCAATGTAATTCACCATATTAAAATATTAAAGAAGAAAAAAACATGATCATCTCAATAACTGCAAAAAAAAAGGATTTGACAAAATCTAACATACATTCCTGATAAAAACCCAACAAACTAGTAATAGAAGGGAACTTTCTCAACCTGATAAAGAACATGCAAAAAGACCTATACTTAACTTTGTAATTTATGGTGAAAATATGCTTTCCCCCCTAAAATCAGAAATAAGGCAAGAATGTCTGCTCTTACCAATACTTTTCAACACTGATCTGGAGGATCAAGCCAGTGTAACAAAGACAAATAAATGATGCCCATAATGGAAAAGAAGAAGTAAAACTCATGTGCAGACTACCAACAGAAAGTTCTAGTTGTAGTCTACCAAAAAGTTGCTAGATAAAATCAGTAATTTTAGTTATACTGTGGGATACAAAGTCCAATATACAAAAATAGTAATCATATTTCCATCCAATTTGAAAATAAAATTAAGAAAGTAATTCAAGTTACAACAGCATTTTTTAAAAAGAAAATACTTGGAGATAAATCTGACAAAAGACATGCAAGACCTGTACACTGAAAATGACAAGACACTGCCGAGAGAAATTACAGAAAACTTAAATAAATGGAGAGAGATACTATGTTCATGGATTGGAAGACTCAATACTGTGAAAATGTCAATTATCGGAAAATTGAACTACAGATTCAATACAATCCCAATCAAAATCCCAGCAGGCTTTTTTGTAGAAAGTGAAAAGCTGATTTTTAAATTGATATGGAAATGCAAAGGACCTGGAAGAGGCAAAACAACTTTGAAAAAGAAGAGCAAAGCTCAAGGATTTGCAGTACCTGACTTTAAGACATATTATAAAAGTACAGTAATCAAGAAAGTGTTGTATTGGCATAAAGACAGACAAACAGATCAACTGAACAGAACAGTGTCTACAAATAGATCTTCACATATACGGTCAATCGATTTTCAACAAAAAATGCAAGGTAATTGAGTGGAGAAAGCACAGTATTCTCCAATGATGATGCTAAAACAATGAGATATCTATATACGATAAAAAGGACTTCAACACATATTTATCACCATATATGAAAATGAACTCAAAATTGATTATAAACATAAATGTAAAACCAGAAACTACAAAACTTCTAGAAAATATAAGAGAAAATCTTTGTGACCTAGGATTAGGCGAATATGCCTTAAGCAGGACACCAAAAAACACAATTCATAAAAGGAAAAAATATATATAAATCAGACTTCATCAAAATTAAGAACTTCTGCTTTTTGAAAGACCCTGTAAAGAGTATGAAAAGACAAGTCATAGACCAGAAGAAAATATTTTCAAACATACATGATAAAAGACTTACCATCCAAAATATATAAAGACTCAAAATTCAGTAAGAAAATTACCCAATAGAAAATGGGCCAAAGATTTAAACAGACATTTCATCAAAAAAGATAGATATATGTCAACTAAGCACATGAAGAGATGCGTAACATCATTAGTTATTAGGGTAATGCAATTCAAAACCACAATATGGTGTCACTACACACTTACCAGATGTTCAAAATTAAAACAAGACTGACCATACCAAATGTTGGTAAGGAGATGGAGCAACTGAAACTCTCATATACTGCTGGTGGGAATATAAAAATTATATAACAAATTATATAACAATTTTCTTTGGAAAACAGTTTGACAGTGTCTTTAAAATGTTAAAATATAGACCTACTATATAACCCAGTCATTATATTCTTAGGTATTTAACCATGAAAGACGAACACATGTCCATACAATCACTTGCACATGAAAGTTTGTAGCAGCTTTATTAGTAATATCCAAAAATTGCAAAAAAACACACATATCCATCAACAAGTGAATGAATAAACAAATCATTGTATATCCATACAGTGGAATACCACTCAGCAATAAAAAGGAACTACTGATACGTGCAACAACTTGGATGAATCTCAAAATAATTATGCTGAGTTTAAAAGCCAGACCAAAAAAAGAACACATACTATATGATTCCATTTATATAAAGTCCTAGAACATGCAAACCAAACAGTGACAGAAAGCAGATTGAGTAGGGGTCAGGCAGGAGGGAAGCATTAAAAAAGGGCATAAGAAAACTGTTGGGGATGATGAATAAACTAAATATTTTTATCGTGCTGATGGTTTCACAAGTTTATACAAATGTCAAAAATTATCAAAGCATGTACTTTAATATGTGCAGTTTAGTGTATGTCAACTGTACCTCCATGAAGCTGTTTTAAACATGAATAAATTAAACACTACTCCCAGAGGCATTTTGGTAGCTTGAGTAGCCAAAGTCCTAGGTTTGCCCCTAGCTACTTCATCCAGTTATTTATACTGATCTTGTGCCTAAGAGAAAAATGAGTAACACATTGAGATGATCTAAATGACAGGCAGACAGAAAATGCCATTAACTGGAACATTCACTAAATACTATGTAACAAAAAAAGAATAATTAAAATTTCCGTAGGAAAAAAATTAGCAAAAGAAAAAAAAAACAATTATTCTTAGTTTTGTTTCAATAAAGTATAGCAAAAATTTACAAATACTCACTTCTTTGGATAATCTTGTGAAGACATCTCCTCCCCTGAGAAAATCCAGTATTAAATACAGCTTCCCTTCAGTCTGAAAGGCTAATTAGAAATTAGAATGTAGTAATAATAATTTTTAAGGCTTACAAAGCTTAGCATAGTTTTTAATTAATATATATGTTTAGAATTTTATTACTGAACACTATAAAACAATTAAGCATTTACTCACATGGTCCATGATTGGATAACATTATCTCAAAATTAAAACTAGTGTTGAAAAAGCTATAAACCCCTTGCCAGAACATAATCAACCTTGGATGTAGCTTTACACAGAAACTTGTACCACCGTCGTTTTCCTGATTTATGGAGCACCATGTTCTACTGCAATTGCCTTAACTCTACTTCCCCACCTACTGAAAATCTACTAATTCTGTCAAGCTCAACAAAAATGCCACCCCCTCTATTTAGCTTTCTTCTATTAAGGATTTCCCTCTTTTCACATTTCCCTGTAGCATCCTTAACCTCTTCCCCATCAGAATTACTTGTTACTACTTTTGAGATCTCATTGCACTTTATTTATGTCTCTCTTATGGTACTTAATCCATTTTGATTTATACAATTAATTGGACTCACATGTCTGTGTTCCCTATAGATTATAAATTTCTTGAGATCAGAGATTATTTCACCTCTAGAGCCCACTGAATTGAATAGAATGTTTTGAACACAACTGGTCTTTAGTGATTAATCTAATGATATCCTAGAGACTCAAGGAAGGAAATCTTTAGATAATACGACTACTCTCATTCCATTAGAGTAATGGGGAATAAAAGAATAATAGGTGGAAAATTCTAGAGGAATTTTTACAGAGAGAGTTGGGTACATACTATAATGCATTATTTGTCAAAATTACCTAAGAATAAAATCAATAGCTGCTATCTTTTTAAATTTCAAAAATTGAGAGTGACATAGTAGATTGGATCAATGATTTAATAATGTATATGCCACTGAATTCTCCAGGAAAGCCAAATGCCACAATCTCATGCATACATTAAACTAGCAATGGAGCCATGATTAAAACTCAGAACTGCATGGATTAGAAGAATTAATATTGGTGACCCAAAGCAATCTACAGATACAATGCAATCACTATCAAAATAACAATGGCATTTTTCACAGAAATAGCACAAATAGTTTTAAAATTTGTATGGAAACACAAAAGACCCTGAATAGCAAAAACAATAACGGAAAAGAAGAATAAAGCTAGAGGCATCACACTTCCTGACTTTTAGACCATGCTAAAAGCTACAAAAATCAGAACAGTATGGTACGGTCACAAAAAGAGCCATACAGATCAATGGAACAGAATAGAGACCACAGAAATAAACCCATGCACTTATGGTCAATGAATCTACGACAAAGGAGGCAAGAATATACAATGGAGAAAAACAATCTCTTCAATAAGTGGTGCTGGGAAAACTGGACAGCTGCATGTAAAAGAATGAAATTAGAAAATTCTCTAACACCACATACAAAAATAAGCTCAAAATGTATTAAAGACCTAAACCATAAAATTCCTAGAAGAGAACACAGGCAGGATACTCTGACATAAATCGTAGCAATGTTTTTTTTGGATCTGACTCCTCAGGAAATGGAAACAAAAGCAAAAATAAGCAAATGGGACCTAATTAAAATTAAAAGCTTTTGCACAGCAAAGGAAACCATCAATGAAATGAACAAACCTACTGAATGGGAGAAAATATTTGCAAATGATATGACCAATAAGGAATTCATATCCAAAATATATAAATAGCTCATATATCTCATCATCAGAAAAAACAAACAACCCAATTAAAAAGTGGGCAGAACACCTGAATGGACATTTTTCCAAAGAAGATATACAGATAGCCAACTGGCACATGAAAAGATGCTCAACATCGCTAATCATCAGAGTATCAAAACCCCATATCAAAACAACGATGACGTATCACCTCACACCTGTCAGAATGGCTATAATCAAAAAGTCTACAAATAACAAATGTTGGAGAAGATGTAGAGAAAAAGGAACTCTCATACACTGTCAATAGGAATGTAAATTGGTGCAGCCACTGTGGAAAACAGTATGGAGGTTCATCAAAAAAATAAAAAATATAACTATCATATGATCCAGCAATTCCACTCCTGGGTATATATATGAAGAAAAAGAAAATATTACCACAAAAAATATATGCACCCCAATGTTCACAGCAACATTTTTTACAATAGCCAAGATAGGGAAGCAACCTAAGTGTCCATCAACAGGTGAATGGATAAAAAAGATGTGGTGGGAGGAATCGGGAAGATGGCAGAAGACTAAGACGCGGAGATCACCTTCCTCCCCACAGATACACCAGAAATACATCTACACGTGGAACAACTCCTACAGAACACCTACTGAACGCTGGCAGAAGACCACAGACCTCCCAAAAGGCAAGAAACTCCCCACGTACCTGGGTAGGGCAAAAGAATAAACAGAGACAAAAGAATAGGGATGGGACCCACACCAGTGGGAGGGAGCCATGAAGGAGGAAAGGTTTCCACACATTAGGAAGCCCCTTCTCAGGCGGAGACTGTAGGTGTCGGAGGTGGGAAGCCTCAGAGCAGCGGAGGAGAGCACAGCAACAGGGGTGCAGAAGGCAAAGCAGAGAGATTCCCACACAGAGGATTGGTGGAGACCAGCACACACCAGCACTAGAGGCTTGTCTGCTCACCCACCGGGGCGGGCGGGGCTGGGAGCTGAGGATCGGGTTTTGGTTGGAGCGCAGGAAGAGGACTGGGATTGGCGGCGTGAATACAGACTGCAGGGGGTTAGTGCACCACGGCTAGCCGGGAGGGAGTCCGGGGAAATGTCTGGACCTGATGAAGAGGCAAGAGACCTTTTCTTCCCTCTTTGTTTCCTGGTGCGTGAGGAGAGGGGATTAAGAGCGCTGCTTAAAGGAGCTCCAGAGACGGGCATGAGCCGCGGCTAATAGTGTGGACCCCAGAGATGGTCATGAGATGCTAAGGCTGCTGCTGCGGCCACCAAGAAGCCTGTGTGTGAGAACAGGTCACTATCCACACCTTCCTTCCAGGGAGCCTGTGCAGCCCGCCACTGCCAGGGTCCCAGGATCCAGGGACAACTTCCCTGGGAGAACGCACTGTGCACCTCAGGCTGGTGCAACGTCCCGCCGCCCTCTGCCACTGCAAGCTCACCCTGCATCCGCACCCGTCCCTTCCTGTGGCTTGAGTGAGCCAGAGCCTCCGAAGCAGCTGCTCCTTTAACCCCTTCCTGTCTGAGTGAAGAAGACATGCCCTGCGGCGACCTACACGCAGAGGCAGGGCAAAATCCAAAGCTGAGCCCCAGGAGCTGTGCGAACAAAGAAGAGAAAGGGAAATCTCTCCCAGTAGCCTCAGAAGCAGCAGATTAAATCTCCACAATCAACTTCAAGTACCCTGCATCTGTAGAATATGTGAATAGACAAAGAATCAGCCCAAATAGAGGAGGTGGATTTTGAGAGCAAGATTTATTATTTTTTTCCACTTTTCCTCTTTTTGTGAGTGTGTATATGTATGCTTCTGTGTGAGATTTTACTTGTATAGCTTTCTTTCACCATTTGTCCTAGGGTTCTATCCATCCGTTTTGTTTTTTCTTTTAAAAAAGTTTCTTTCTTAATAATTATTTTTATTTTAATAACTATTTTATTTTATCTTACTTTATTTTATTTTATCCTTTCTTTCTTTCTTTCTTTCTTTCTTTCTTTCTTTCTTTCTTTCTTTCTCTCTGTATTTCTTTCTTTGTTTCATTCTTTCTTTCTTTCATTCTACATTTTCTCCCTTTTATTATGATTCATGTGGATGAAAGGCTCTTGGTGCTGTAGCCAGGAGTCAGTGCTGTGCTTCTGAGGTGGGAGAGCCAACTTCAGGACACTGGGCCACAAGAGACCTCCCAGCTCCACATAACATCAAAAGGCAAAACTCTCACAGAGATCTCCATCTCAACACCAGCATGCAGCTTCACTCAATGACCAGCAAGCTACAGTGCTTGACACCCTATGCCAAACAACTAGGAAGACAGGAACACAACCTCACCCATTAGCAGAGACGCTGCCTAAAATCATAATAAGTCCACAGACACCCCAAAATACACCGCCAAACGTGGACCTGCCTACCAGAAAGACAAGATCCAGCCTCATCCACCAAAACACAGGTACTAGTCCCCTCCACCAGGAAGCCTACACAACCACTGAACCAACTTTAGCCACTGGGGACAGACACCAAAAAAAACAGGAACTATGAACCTGCAGCCGGCAAAACGGAGACCCCAAACACAGTAAGATAAGCAAAATGAGAAGACAGAAAAACACACAGCAGATGAAAGCACAAGATAAAAACCCACCAGACCTAACAAATGAAGAGGAAATAGGCAGTCTATCTGAAGAAGAATTCAGAATAATGGTAGTAAAGATGACCCAAAATCTTGGAAATAAAATACACAATATGCAAGAAACATTTAACAAGGACCTAGAAGAACTAAAGATGAAACAAGCAATGATGAACAACACAGTTAATGAAATTAAAAATACTCCAGATGAGATCAATAGCAGAATAACTGAGGCAGAATAACGGATAAGTGACCTGGAAGACAAAATAGTGGAAGTAACTACTGCAGAGCAGAAGAAAGAAAAAAGAATGAAAAGAACTGAGGACAGTCTCAGAGACCACTGGGACAACATTAAACGAACCAACACTCGAATTATAGGGGATCCAGAAGAAGAAGAGAAGAAGAAAGGGACTGAGAAAATATTTCAAGAGATTATAGTTGAAAACTTCCCTAATATGGGAAATGAAATAGTTAATCAAGTCCAGGAAGCACAGAGAGTCCCATAAAGGATAAATCCAAGGAGAAACATGCCAAGACATATATTAATCAAACTGTCAAAAATTAAATACAAAGAAAATATATTAAAAGCAGCAAGGGAAGAACAACAAATAACACACAGGGAATCCCCATAAGGTTAACAGCTGATCTTTCAGCAGAAACTGTGCAAGCGAGAAGGGAGTGGCAGGACATATTTAAAGTGATAAAG